GAGAAAGCGGGAAAGTGTCCTGCTGTTTGTTTTTGTTGGGGCTTTTTTTTGCCTCAGAGGAAAAAATAGATGGGTGAACACGGGTCTTTCCACGTTGGGTGAGAAGGAGAGCCAGAGACTATAAACAGCCACGCCGGGTTGCTTCCCCCCCTTTTTTGGGGGTGGCGTGACTTCGACGATAACATGGGCTGAGGAAGAAATATTTATTAAATAAATAGGTAAATTTTTTTGGGGGGGGAAGAGGACCGGGCTTGGCATTCCTGACCTTGAGGGAAGAGTAGGGCAAAAAATTAGGATGGATAAAAAAATCCGGGATTTCTCCCGAAAGTCAAATTGATTAGTATCACGACTTAAATGATTAACAAATGGATTTGTTTAAATCGTCAAACGCCTGGTTTTAAATTAGAGAAATGTAGCCAGTTCGGGTGGGGAGGAGGGGAAGCCTGCGGGTGCCTCAACCACACCCTTGCGAGGCGGACCCGTAAATCTTATTATTCTTCTCTGGTTGGATTTGCAGAAGTCTCCATTTGCTTGAGAGCCTCCCATAGGCTATAATCAGGTCAGGATTGCGGTGGGCTATTTATAGGCGAAACCCGAATTTTCGCTCCGTTTTTTTAGGAAACCCGGTTTTGGACCAACCCCAGACTGTTCTACAAAAGCAATGATCGCTTCCTTGTCCACACTTGTTTCTGCCCTGATGCTTTTTCCGGGCCCGCGCCCCATTGTTTCTTCCCTCTGTCCAGGATAGCCTCCATGGAGATCTAGGGAGCAGCGTAGACACAGTTCCCACGTATTCCATATGAGCTTTGAGAGGGATACTTAGTAGTAGTAGAAGGAGGAGGAGGATACACTTTTATTTCGTTACATTTCCAGATCTATATGGCGGAGGACCTGATAAAAAAGTTGTACCCTTCGTGGTAAAGGGAACACGCAGGAGAACATGTAATAGTTATGTAGACAGCCCCAAAAGTCCTGGCTCTGGAGGAAGTAAGATAGGTGTAAAGATGATCAAGCATGTATTTGGCCATTGTTTTGGTCTTTGCTAAAAGGACAAATTTAAGTTGCAATAAATTGAAGAAACTTGTACAGAGGTAACATGGAAGTCTTGAGTTAAGTAGTATATAAGGTGGTTGTATATTTTATCCCTGACGCTTTTTAATATATAAAAAATAATCTCCAATCATTTTAAAGCCTTTCTAAAATTGTCTTGTTTTTTAATGGTTTAAAACACATTGCAGTTGAGAAAATAACATTGTAGGGATGGGTCTTGCCAGAGTTAGGGTTGACCAATGTTTCTTCTACTATGTGGACTTGTTTGTTTGCTAGTGTTGGACTTAAAACTATTTTAATTGCTTGATCAGGAATTAGGCCTTTATGTAGAAAAGTGACTACTGGTTGATCAAAGCCTGTCCAAAGAGTTTTTGGTGGAATGTATGGGGTGGATCTTGTGTGTAGTTCTGCTTGTTTGCAGTAAATCACTTACATAGTAGCAGTCCTGCCACCTACTTAGATTGCTTGCAAGATTGTTAAGAAATGAGCTGCTTTACTATCAGGAAGTTTGCTCAGAAGCCTTGAGGTTAGCAGTACTTTGTGTTGGCTGAATGGTGTTATTTTGCAAGCATCTGCATGTAATATTTAAGGAACCTGTTTAATGAAAATTGTCAGTATATTTCCAGTGTTTCCTTAAAGTATATAGTGTTGACAAGAAAGATGCATTATTGGTGTCCTTTTTTGAACAAGCCTCATTGACTTTGATGAGGGGTTTCAGCAGCCATGCATGGGATGAAAACATGTTTTCTAGTAAATTTGTAGCAGTGTAGCTCAGTGGATTGGGGCACCAGGTTGTGGAGTGGGGGGGGCATTAGGAAATTGACTCTCCCAACCAACCATCCTTCCCTCTGGCGGTTGGTAGGTGAGTGGAGCAATATGTAACCTAAATAATTTAATTGTAAAGTGCCCAGAGTGTGTTTTAAGCACTATGGGGCGGTATATAAGCAGCATGCTTTTACATTGTTGCTTTAGAAGGGAAGCTAATGTTTTATTACAGTAAAAAAGATTTGAGAGATCTCAACTTACATAGTACAGTAGATGCAAAAGCCAAGTTTTTTCTCAGCACTGTTTGGAAATGGTAAATTGAAGCAGCTCTGTAGTGCTTATTGCTAAAAGCTTTAAAATGCCTTTACTTAGTGGAGAGTCACTGGAGTCAGAGGTTTCTCAGAAGATCATATGAAGAAGCAAAGAAACTGTAGGATGTTTTTTAAACAGAACTCCAAAACCTACTTTTAATACCCCACAGGAGTCCCCAGTTGTTGGATGGAAGTTCTCAGCAGAAGGAGAATTCTGCAGCACCTGCTGGTAAGTAATGTATGGAATGTTCTGTCCATTCTGGTTGGTATCTCAATATTTTATTTCCCCAGCCCCATAAACTGTTTTGGGATGGGTGGGAAAGGGAACTCAATGCAGAATTTATTTTTTGCATCACTGATCTGTGGCTGTGACAGTGATTTAAGAGCTGCTGTTTGGATTTTTAGAAAATCAAAAGGTGTAAATTGTGCTATAAATACAGCAGCAGTTTGGCTGGCATTCTGAATAAGCTCAGAATGATCAATGAAGGTGTCAGGGCAGGGGAGCAAGGAAGAGCAAATTCATAGAACAAACATCTTGTTGGAGATAAAATGGCTGCTTGTTATGTAATAGCGGCCATCTTGATTGTTTAATATTTAAGCTGCTCTGTGGTTGTTTATCTTATTTGTGTGTACACAATGTCAATGTTACATCTTCATTGCTCTGGTAGTCAATGGACTTGGCAGCCAAGTAAGCCTGTGTAGGCAGGATGTGTTCTTAAGTTAGAATCAGACATTTGGAAAGTAGCTCGTGATAATTTGTCAAATCAAAAACTTAGACCATACTATTTGTATGCATTATGATGTTTTTTTTAAAAAAACTTCTAAGTTAGCACGCCAGAAATGTAAATTGTATTGTTGTTTATGACTTAAAAGCTTCAAAACACAGGTGAAATCTTGCTTCTTTTTTTGTCCTTATCCCCCCCTACCCTGAAAAAAAACCCACCAGCAATTGTTTCTGGACAACAAAAGACAGAAGGCACAGGTTCTGAAAATACTCAGAATGAAAGATCCAGCAGGAAGACAGATGAGATGACCGACTTCATGGATGACTTGACCTTGAGTTCACCCAGAGAGAGATCCCGTTCAGTGTCGAGGAGCAGCTGTAGCAGGAGATCCTCCTCAAGATCATCCAGCAGGTCATCTTACAGTTCAAGATCTAGTTCAAGCACCTCTTCTTCAAGAAGCTGGAGTAGATCTAGGAGCCGATCACGATCACGTGCTAAAAGAAATTGTTCTCGGAGGAACAGAAGGTATTCAAGATCTTATTCCAGGAGCCGATCAAGATCACGAAGCTACCGATACCGAGAAAGGTACCATCCTAGATACTATAGCAGGTACCGTCGCTCTCCTCCAAGATACAGATCACGAAGCCGTTCACCTAGAAGATCATACTACAGAAGGTCTTACTCCAGAAGCCGTTCAAGAAGCCGAAGATGCTATGGATTTGGAAGAACCATCTATCCCGAGGCTTACAGAAGCTGGAGAAGCCGTTCTCGATCAAGATCTCGCAGTAGAACTCCTCTGCGCTTGACGGAAAAAGGTATAGAGAGAATTGAGTTCTCAAAGTTGCACTATGCTAAGTATCCCCAGGCTGACTTCAGGAAGTTCCAAATGTGTTTCCACTGGAATCTGTACACAGCTGTAGTTTTCTTAATTGGGAAAAGTATTGAGTCTCAGAGAGGGAAAATAGTTATGCATTTGAGGTTTTAGAAATTCAGTGCTATAGTTTTTATATGTGAAGGTCAGCAGTAAGAATCTGTTTATCTGAGTTATTAAGAATCAGGGAGGCTATGAACAATTCACAGAAAGTGAGAATAGGGGAACTTGGTAGCTTCCAGGTTAGACTGACTGGGAGGGGTATGTATGATGATCATCAAATGAAAAATTAGACTGTCCTAAGAAGATTCTTGGTCTTTTGTTTTTGGTAGAAAAGAGAGAACTACTGGAAATAGCAAAGGCTAATGCAGCAAAAGCCCTTGGAACAGATATCGTTTTGCCAGCCAGCTTGAAGATTGCTACACAATTGAAAGAAAATGAAAGTGGCAAGCAAAAAGAGGAAAGTGTGGAACCTGATGTGAGTATATGAAACAGCTCTCCAGATGCTGAAGGTACAGTCTTTTAAATGCAAGTAAAACAATAAAGATGTCTTACTTAATAAATTTGGTGCCAAAATTTCACATAAATCTAGTGAGTAGACCCATTATATCAGTGGGAACTTTGTAAGACATCAGTTAATGTAAACTTCAGTGACTCAGTGAGTCTACTGTGCTCCAAATTGGCATTTGATTTGGACCTAGTTTTTTTAAGTGCTCAGTTTTTTGAAACTATGTCAAATTGTAGCTTGTTATAGTAGAATGACTCAAGTCATCACTGAAAATACTGAGATTCTGTGAAAATGTTACTCAATTCCTATCAATAAAGCCCCCTCAGTTTGGTTTGCACCTCATATGTTTTGGATAAAGTTAATGAATAGTGGTTAAAGTTCATACTGTTTAATACTTGTCGGACTGTTGTGCAACAAATGTTCCCGGAAATTTTTTATCCAGACACATAGCGCATTTTACGTGCTTTATTTCTGTTTTATAGAAATCATGAATATGATGTCGAGCACTGATGAAGAAAATCTGGTGGTAATTAAGTGACTGTGGGCTGTAGTTGTGTTTAGGGGAGGGAAATATGAACTAAGTTGGTAAAAGCTAAATTCTTAATGATTGAAAAAAAATTACACATAAGAAATAACCATATTATTTGCTCCTCTATAGCTTCTGGAGCTTATGTATATTTCATACATTTAGCAAGGGTATTCCACAGTTTTAAAACTGTCAGTGATCCTTAGTGTATATACAGTATAATTGTTGACAATAAGAACCAGCTGGCATCACTTACAGTAAGTTATTTACAGTATCTTGAGCACTACAATGAAGGCTGCATGTCATCAAGTCACTAGTTTGTTGGTTAAACATCTAAAATTCAGGCAGGTGAGACAATAAATAGCCTATTTGCTTTTTAAAAAAGCATAAGATGCTGGCAATGTGCAGTAACCTGTCTGCATTTAACTACAAATATAACCATGGTTATTTGAAAGTCTGGTAGCCTTGTTAGGATATACTTCCAGATAGGTAGGCTCAGTGTTGCATCAGTGTTGTGTGCATGCTACCTCAGCGGTTAGACTAATTGGGCAGCCAAGTGACATAGTTTTTAAAATAGGAACCATCACTCCCTAGCAGTCCAGAAATCAGACTGAAAACTGTAAAAAAGGAAATTGGCACTGAAAGGCACAGCCTGCAATCCAAACATGAGTTAAGAAAGAAACTGAACAGGTACTTTTAGTAGTTCACTTTGCAGTCACAGATTAAGTTCAGCAAGACTTGATTGCCATGGCTTGAAAATACATTTATAAAAGGAAAAATACTCAGTTTTATTAAGAAATACTGGTTGGGAATTTACTTGGGTACTGATCAAAAGAACTCAGAAAAGGGGGGGAGGAATCCAAATATGAAAAATTGATGGAAGAGTTAATTGTATCTCTTATCCTTTATTTTAATACACACGCTGAGTTCTTTTGATCTTTTCTCACAGTGAAACATTTTCTTTTCCAGAAAACAGTGGGCCTGAAATCAGGAAGTTTCACTTCTAAAGAGACAGTACTGTCTCCAGGAAGAGAAGAGAAAAAGAGTCCAGCTGGGCAGTGGATTCCTGTTAAAAATGAGAATATGCTGTTCCATAGTTTTTCACCTAGAAGCACGTCTTTTAGAGCACGCTAACATCAGTGTTCTATATGTTGAGGCATTATGAGAGCTGAAAGCTCAGAATTCAGGGCTTAAATACAGAATACTTAAGCTGTGTTTGAGATTAAATTTATTTTCTAGACGAAAGATGGAGTACAGATGCCCAGAAATTAAAGATGGGGAACCCTTGTTTCTTTACATTCTTTTTGTTTTTGTGGTAGATTACATTTCAGGTAGGTAACTTCTCTGCTAGAGTAATGTAGTATCTTTCAGTGTTTTAATGTTTGTGTAACTTGATTAATACAAATAAACCTATGTTTTGTATACTTCCAAATATTTGATTCAATGCTTCAAACAGTGATTTATGGCTCTTTGTGGTAATTCATTTGGCTTGTGTAGTTGTCTCATATTTCTTTTTAGCCTGAATGTTGCCATAATTTGGAAGTGGCACAAAGAAAAAAGTCCTTTGTGCTCTTAACTGGGTGAAATTAACCCTTTTTTAGTCTTGTGACGGAATCGGCATAATTGCACTCCATCCACTTTCAGGGACTCTTACATTGTCATGTATAATTCTCTGAACTAGTTTTGCATGCATGAAGTACAGCTGTTGCTAGATAAAAGCTTGCTTCTAGATCTTGAAATTCTTGATTCATTAGCTTTTTGCTTCAAAGGTTACTGTGATCCATATTCCAGGACATTCAAGCGGAACACAGCACAGTCAGAAAAGTCTTCTTAGAGTAATGCTAGTGGAGTGGTGCTGAAGTGTCTGCTTAGATCTCATGGGGTGGGGCATTAGGACATCCATGAATTGTGTAGCTGTCACTAAATGTGGTTGGCTTATATATTTAAGGAAGAATTTGTTCAGAAACTAGTTAAGGATGATTTTGTATACATAGTACTTTTCCTTAAATCTGCATAAAACTGGAGCATCTGTATCAAATGAAGACCTTTAAATAAACGTATTCTCCGTATTGTGTGGCATTTTATTGAGCATTATGAAGGGAGTGGGACAGAGATGCTGGAATAAACTACTTTTTATCTGAGCAGATAGTATTTAAAATGAAATAGGTAAATGGTGTGTCAGGCTAATGGAATACAGAAAATGCTTTTCCTCAATTTTCACAGCTGAACTAGAATATCCTGAATTTTTCAACGAAAATTTAGCGCCCTCTGCAGGCACCAACAAAGCCCATGTGATTGTGAGTTTTTCACAACCACACAGCCTTTTTATGTAATTGCAGTAACATTCCAGCAGCTTTTTGATTGTGCTTCACCTTGACCGATGCAACCAATTTGGAAGTAAAAACGATCACCAACAAAAGACATGGTTAACTTTGTTAGCCAATATGTGTCATAAAATATTCCATGTCTGTTTTCAAAGTTGTACCAGCTAAGACGAAGGCAGTGACATCAGTATGAAAAATCTGCCATATGCAGATTGGGGTAGTTCTTTATCCTTTCCAGTGGTAAAAGCTGCTCAGGTAATTCCGTTTTTGGAGCATTCTGCAGAGGCATGATAAAGTAGCTCCACTTGCTTGGGTGAGGGCATTCTTTGGAAAATAAATCTTGAGAGCTAGGCATTCAAGGAGCTGATGTCATGCCCAGTTGCTGTGGTTGAAAATGAAACAGTGGTTTTTAGTACAGTTGCCCAAGAAGCTGGACCATGTAGCTGGTAGATCTTCAGGGCAAAAACAGTTCAATAAGGAGCTTTCATTATTTCTACTGCACATGACTTGCTTTAGGAGAGTAGCTCTGCCTTGTGTGTAGTGACTAATGTGCTGAGTGCCCAATACACAGTCTCAAAAGCAATCTCAACATTGCCATCCAAAGAAGCAGATAACAGCAGCACTATGGTTGTCATGGATACATCAAGCTACACTTGGAAAGATTAGGGAGAATTATCCTACTCTAAATTTTACCAGGTCCTACTACAGACCCAAATGCCAAATATACAAAATATTATGAAAAAGTCACTGAAAATATGTGAACAAATCCTGACTCACAGTGCAAGAACCTCCACTACCATCTAGGTAAAGGTTCCCCTTGACAATTTGTCCAGTCGTGTCCAACTCTAGGGGGCGGTGTTCATCTCCGTTTCCAAGCCGTAGAGCCAGCATTTGTCTGAAGACAACCTTCCATGGTCACATGGCCAGCACGAAAGACACTGAACGGCGTTACCTTCCCACTGAGGTGGTACCTATTTACCTACTCACATTTTTGCATGCTTTCGAACCACTAGGTTGGCAGGAGCTGGGACAAGCGATAGGGCTCATTCCGTCCTGTGATTTGATCTTATGACTGCAGGTCTGACCTTGCAGCACAGAGGCTTCTGCGGTTTAACCTGCAGTGCCACCATGTCCACTACTGTTTACCAAAAACCAGGGAAATCTGGCATACCCACCTCTGGATAGGTGAGCTCCATCCTCAAACCACATGCCACCAACATACCTAGCTATTGCAAGAGATATCAGAGTTTCTAAGGAAACTTCACTCATGACCTGACAACACCATCTTAGCAGCTCTCTACCTTCTGCAACTTTATTCTACATCCAGATCAATGGAACAACACCACTCCACAATACATAAGTTATAAATGGTGTGCAGTAGAGCAAATCAACTTAAGGCAATTCTGAAAACAAGGGCAGCCGAAACAAAAAATAATTTTGAAACTATAGTGGTGACCCGCAAGATGGGCACTCCGTTTAATGACAAAACTGCTTGACGTCGATGTTCCCTATGGGGGAATTTCGCTTTGCAATGATCGGTTCCCTGCTTCGGTAACCGATTCTCACAAAGCGATGATTTTTTAACAGCTGATTGGCGGTTTCAAAATGGCCACTGGGTAAACAAAATGGCCACCCGCTGTTTTCAGGGACAGATTCCTCACTGCACAGGCAGCGAAAATGGCTGTGCTATGGAGGATCTTCGCTGGACGGTGAATTTCCAGCCCATAGGAACGCATTAACCAGGTTTAATGTGTTTCTATGGGCTTTTAAAAATCGCTTTACGTTTTCGTTCTACAGCAATTTCGCTGGAACGAATTAACGTCATAATGCGAGACACCACTGTAGATTAGGTTCAGCAGTAGTAGGTGGTCTTGCTGCCAAATTCGGCAAAGGATTTTCAAGTTGAATTTTTTAAAATAAAGCTGTCTTCCCCCGGCCATACAAAACAACCGGAATATGTCTTGACATTTAAAATGGCTCATGTATATTGAAAAGACCAATCTTGCTTATACCATGTTTCATGCAAACAAAGAAATTGCCCCTTGTTTCGTGTCCCTTCGTGAACAGAAGTGAGCACAAGAGGGTTATCTTGTAGACCATCTTTACTGCTGCTATTGAGTGTTATCAACATTTAGACTTCTTTTTGGTACGTAAAGTTTGGTATTCTTTTTCCTGCGGGCAACATGGGCACAATATTGTGCAGCAATATTAAGCCATTTCCTGGTACTGTATTTTGAATCATGGATACAGAACACAATAGCCCACATTCATAAACCAGATGGCTTTTTTTTTTTTTTGAAGAATATAATGGCTGACCTAGAACAATGCTTTTAAAAAATGTTTGTACTCCAAAACTACGCAGTACGCTTGGCTCACAGATAGGGAGCCCTAGAGAAAGTCTACTTTGACTCCAATAACTCATCTGAACATCAGTCTTCGCCTGGACCAATCCACACATCAGGTGCATTTTCTTGACACACTGAAACTACAACATGAACTTAGCGCTACACTGTACTGAAAACCCCCTGACTGATATGCCCACCTGCATGCATTCAAATTCTGTCCACACACCACTACATTTATTGCTTACAATCAAGTGCTCAGGTACAATTGCATCTGCTTGGACCCACAAGAGAAGACTCCAGAAATCTACCGAAAACATTTTTCGGATTACAATACCTATCCGATATGGTTAAAAAACAAATTAACAAGGCCAGATGAATACCCAGAAGCAACCTACTGCCAAGACTGACCAAGAAGAGAAAATGATCAAACACTGCTGGTTGTCACTTTCAGCCCACAACTAAGACCACTCACACACATCAAAAACAAACTCCCAACCCGTTCTTGACAGGAGTACTTCATCCCTCCCCCCAAAGCAGTTGACGGTATACCTATACTTGCTTACAGATGACCCCAAAATCTCAAGCGACTATTGACACACAAGTTACACAACATGGACACAGCTATGGAGGTTATACCCTGCTACAAATCCAGATGCCAACTCTTCCCCTGCATTTACTCTGGTAACGCAATCACAGGACCCAACAATGCCACATACATGAGAAGACTCCCTGGAAAAGCCTGATGTTGGGAAAGTGTGAAGGCAAGAGGAGAAGGGGATGACAGAGGACGAGAATGGCTGGACAGGGTCATCGAAACTGGGGATGACAGAGGACGAGAATGGCTGGACGGTGTCATCGAAACTAACATGAATTTGACCCAACTCCGGGAGGCAGTGGAAGACAGGAGGGCCTGGTGAGTTGTGGTCCATGGGTTCACAAAGAGTCAGACATGACTTAATGACTAAACAACAATGGAAAGAGAGCGCATGACAGTTGTGCTGCCACAACGACAATCTGTGCATGATCCAGGATTGTTCCCACCTATTCTTTAGCCATTACCAAATGCAAAATACTACAATAATTAAGTTATCTGCTGTCATTTTCCATAGCCATGTTCCTTCCCAATCACAGCAATCCTTACAGAACAAGCTTCAAAAGTCAGTGATTCTTCACTCATTACCATATGCCATTTTTTCAGGTTTTTTTAAAAAATAGGCTGAGGCTCCTTTAGCCATTAATCATAACTGTTTACAGACCAAAGCTTCAAAAGCAAACTGAATATAAAACAAGAGTCTTAAATCACTCCTAGGTGTGAAATGCCTCAATGACACACAATTAACAACTTCATTGTACCAACCATCACTGTCTATCCTAGAGCTATGTATGGATGTTCCATAGCCATGTTCCTTCCCAATCACAGCAACCCTTACAGAACAAGCTTCAAAAGTCAAGTCAGTGATTCTTCACTCATATGCGATTTTTCAGGTTTTTTTAAAAAATAGGCTGAGGCTCCTTTAGCCATTAATCATAACTGTTTACAGACCAAAGCTTCAAAAGCAAACTGAATATAAAACAAGAGTCTTAAATCACTCCTAGGTGTGAAATGCCTCAATGACACACAATTAACAACTTCATTGTACCAACCATCGCTGTCTAACGTTCTGCCATATAGTCTTTATTCTCACTCTTATGTCTGAAGAAGTGGACTTGTTCCACGATAGTTCACATTAAAATGTAACAGTATTTAAGGTGCCACTATATCCTTGTCATGTTTATTTTTATTTTTTTGCTCTTTGTTTTGACTCTTCTTGAATTACGTGGTTTCACCTCAAGCAGTACAGGATGAATTGTGGCCATTTTCTGTGGATTATCACCTGATACATTCTCCACTGCCTTGCATCAATGCATACAGATTCTGTTTGAATGTCTGACAATAATCTACAGAAATACTTTTATCCATGTACTGGTAAAAACAGAATTCCCAAACCTCTTCTCCTTTACACAGTGACTACCTGCAAGTTTCCTTTCCACTGGAAAAAAATCTATTGCATTTCTTTATTTACATTTGTGACTTGATATTTATCCTATTTTTGCAACAACCAAAAGGAGTCTACAACAGGTGCTTCCTTCTAGTCACACCATGAGGCAAACCCCAAAAATGTCAAATGTCCAGTACCCAATTCTGCTGATCAGAGAATGACCCTCACAATTCCAGTCCTCTCTAGCCTGCCGGCACTTCCTAGAGAACAACTTGCAAAATATGATTTTACTGATGATTTCTGAGCCACTAATTATTTTGCACTTAACATTCGTAACAAGTTTCTGAACTAACAAGTGAGTAGCTTTGTTGAATGGGAAGTTTTCTCTTTACAATAATTTGTTTTCAAGTTCAAGGTCCGTTTGTGAAACAAAAGTTTGAAAGTCTGTTTAAAACAAAGACCCTGGATAAAATCATATTGCTCAATCTGCCTTCTAGACAGCTGTTCCTCTTTCCAGGTTCTGCTTAATTTCTGCAGTGTATTTTCCATAGAACCTCTCGGCCTTCTTATTGAACTTGGCGTTCCGTTCGTTAATATAGTCGATATCTGCATCGTCATTATAAGGGCGTCTCCGGCTGTACTTCTCACGTTTTTGGATTCTGCAAGAGAAGTTGATGCCGTGAGGGTTCACATTCAACATAATTCTCCTGTGGTGGCCTGTTGTCTTCTTTGACACAAAGAGGAACCACATTCTCTTTTGGCTGGGCAGACAGAAAGCCCAAACCAGCCTGCATTAACAGTGCACATCAGAGCAAGCAGGGGAAGGAGCTAGAGGGCTCTGGATGCAGAAATGCTCTGTCCCAGCGTTACCCTCCCTCCCCCAAAACCGATCTATTTCTGAATTAGAATTGTAGCTAATGATGCAATCTCTTCTAACTTTTTTTAATACACAAGAACCATCTGAGCAACCAGGTTTACAAGGGTCACAAGCCAAACCTATGTATTTAGGTAATGCTATTATAATAGGCTGGACAATCTGTGGTGGGGGCCATAGAAGTGGCTCCCCAGGGATCATCACTGGCCCACATATACTCATCCCTGGAGCACCACTTCTGTGGTCCCTACCATCACATTTTTATTTTCTCATTCTTGTTTAAAAGCCATTTTTGTGTCTTCCTGTAGCTGAAAAACATTTTAATTTTTTTTAAAAAAGCTGGCATGTGTTGTTGTTGTCATATGCCATTAAGTCAGAACTGACTTACAGAAAACATTAGTCACTTACTGTTTCTCAAGATCTGAAACCATCCTGTCAACGCCTTCTTTACATGGCACATGGGTTCCATGGAGAAGACTGTTTGAAGTTGGGTAAAACTCTTCACCACTGAATGGAAGATGCAGGGAAGAACAGTGATTAATACTGTGACTGATGCAATCTGCTAACATAAATGTATTCCAGGCTTTCTGTTCAGTGCCTGTCTATTCACAGAATATCTTCCTTTTGAAACAAAACAGCATATTGATCTAGTACAGAATACTTAATTAATAAATGGCCCTCTGCAGCCAATACTTCAGCTATATCAATCCCAATTTCTAAGAGTTATCTTTAGTTCTTTATAAAGCACAGAGGACTAGAATCAACCGGTACACATACATAGTATTTCACCAAAATAGCTGATTGATTCTGAACTGTGTGGCCAGGTGTAGGAACTGTCTAGCTAGAGTTTGGCAATTACTCCAGGGTAACAAAGGATTGTTACTTCAGTCCTCAGCTGTGTATCTACTCTGGAACCCTTGAACAGAGTCAGGGTGGCTCCATTCTTGTACAGCTTCCAGTCGACAACCAGAACTGTATAATTTGAGATGATCTTTGTTAAAACAAATAGTTTAGAACCTTTAAACATCCCCTTGAATTTCACATGGATTTAAACAACTATAAACAGCCCCCAGAACCTAGTGCCTCTATTGTACCATGTACTTTGAACAGTTTATTTTATAAAAAGGTGGTGGGGGAAGAGTTCTAGTGTTATTGCCACTTTACTCAAGATTACAACATGAATTCCCCATCTATACCTTTGGGTTCACTTTTGTAGAATGCAAAACTTGTGACAAAATCAAATAAGTTGTGTCCCAATAAACACCATCTTATTGTTTGTGAGAAAGCAAGAGCAACAGAAGACTTACGACCAATGTCCAGAGGGCTATACAGGATCTACAGAGCAGTGAAAACGTAGTTGCCTACGGCCTGAGCTTTCACAGGCAAGAGATACGGTGAGCCCTTGAATCAAGTAAGCTCTTGCTTACAAAAGAACTTGCACATGAAGAAAGTCACCCCCACAAGTACAACAAAGCTTGGCCCTTCTGCTGCTACAGCAGATATGGGTACTTCATAGAATCCAATTCTCTAAAATCTCTTCATCATGTAAACCATATGCATTGTCAGTATCCCATGACCAAGTAAAGTTTTTGAAAAAAAAATCCTGTTTCCATTGCAAACTATTTCTTTGGGTCTACTTCAGTCCTAACTAACATCTTCTGTTAATGGAAGCCCTTCTATATTTTAATCATTTTATCTTTTATTGTATTTTAGTTGAATTGTAATTGTTGTAAGCCACCCAGAGACCTTTGGGTAGAGTGGGCGGCATATAGGTTAAACAAATAAATAAATAACTATGATATCAGGTATAGGCTTGTAATGCAAGAAAAATAAAAATGAGAGACAGCCCTATGGAGTTTGCGCTTTGTGAATGATGTTAAGTTCACACAGCAACCTATTCACTAGCCTTCAGGTGATCATAAGAGAAGTTATGAGAACAGACAGCTTACTGCTATACACCATCATCTGTATTCGCTTTAAGTCATCACTGATACTATTTGGGTAATGATCAACAGGGGACGAGGCCGTCACTAGATGGATCAGAAATCAGCAGAAATGCTGCCTAGAGGGCTGCTGTAGCAGTGAATTTTGACAACCGGTCTTCTAGCCACCCATAGGCTTTTATGAAGAACTGCTACTGTGCAAAAAAGATCACATGACCAAGAAAACCTCGTGGGACAATACAGAAGTTGGACTAACCTTTCTTCTTTCAGCTTTTCATATTGCTCCAGGTCAGGCTTGATCTGCCTGGTCAATCTCTGATACTGGCGTAATTGAGCCGCTGCATAATCTACAAAGCAAAGACATCTGCTATTAAACAGGAAGCCCGTAAGACACAACCTGTTGCCAAAAACAGCCTTCATTTCACTCACACTTAAGGGCTGGAAGATGCAAGGGCAAACGCCTTCCTTCTTACCTGAAAACCCAAGGTCAGGATTTTTCTTCTTCTTCTTCCTCTCAAATCGCTCTGCATCCTCTGCGCTGATTTCTAGCAATTTCACTCTCTCGTAATCCTCTCCTTTGGCCAAACACTCCTAGTATATACAGTAGTAAAACAAGCTTTCATATTTTAAAACACATTCTCAAATCTTGTCATGGTGATACTGAGGATACCATGCCCCTCAAAATATCATTAAATATCATCCTACACACAGTAATTGTCAACTGGTACAAGTTTAACTTCCTGGCACCTGTGAATGACAACTTGTGCCTTTTCTGTTGTCTCATCAGAACACCCCCAAAGAGGGTGAACCTAAATTCGCTAGACATGTCACAAGAAAACATTAGGGAATTAAGTTGTTATGTTTTTGATAGGAATGAAGCTACGGGCATGCATATTTGTACACTAAGTTTGTATCTGTACATTCACTGAATTGTTTCATTTTTGCTGATTTTAAATTGGTGAATATATAATTTGAGGAACATGTCAGAAATAAACAATGTCACCTTCTTTACTTCAATCTTTGTAAAGAGTGCCACATCTACAACATGAAAATAAGACTGCCTATCATTCAGCAGGGGGTATGAGAATCACTGATATTGTGTATGTAGCATTTGCTAGATGCTACAGAGCATGATATAAAAGAGTAGAAAGTGGAATACAAATCCAACTAATAAAAATGATACTTACTTTTTAATTGAATTCAAGGTTGCCAGTGGTTAATTTTTTTGTATGAAAGAACGCTTCCCTGTTCTTGACCAGTAGAAACACATAATTATGAGGCAATTGGGCCCACAAAATGGGCCCAGAGTTTAGAACTACATGAGCCTGGGACATAGGCTGAGAATGATTTCTTCTGACTGTTGTGATGGAAAATGTATGCCATCTGTATTATTTGCCTACTTATTTACCTTTTTCTTTTCCTCCACCTTTAGCTCCCATTCTAAACGAGCCTTTTTAGCTTCCCAGTTTGTTGGCAACTTGAGCCTTTTATCCTCCTCCACAACTTCCTGGTGATTTAACTTGCGAGCTTCATTCTTTAACAACAATACAGTGAATAGATTGTTAGGTACTCCTTTAGCAGCTGTGAGCACATCTAGGTAATTTGAATCTAATACCCAAGAGAGAAATAACTGCCCATCTTCTAATCTAAGTACTGAAATACCAAAAAGATAGAGAAAAGAGAGGATATAAGTACGCTCAAAAAACCCATCTTCCGTTTGCACCTAAATATGCTCATAAACCCCATCTTCCAGTTGCACACTATGGCCAAAAGCTTTAGGGGGAAATTATGCATAAAGCAGTCCACAATTGGTTTTTGCTCCCCTCGCCTGCCCCCTGCATGACTAATTCCATAATCGGAAGAGGACAGGCTGTATGAAAGACAACCCTATCCCCCCAAAAAACCTCCTACTGCCTGGTGAATTTTAGGTCCACTGCAAAAAATTCATTTTGCTTCTTCAACTGATAACTGCTCCAAAAATCAAAGTGCAATTTTCTTTCACATGCACAACATTACCCAATTCCTTGGGGTTCTGCTCTGTTCCCCATCCTTCCTACCTCTCTCTGTAGCTTAGATTGTGGCACCTATATGAAAAGGTGCCACAATGTCTGCTATTGCTAAAGAAAAGATCCATAACGGTACTTCCTGAAAAACATACTGGATAATTTTTAGAACTGTTACACCAGGCAACATAGTATGTTCTCTTCTTGCTTTAAGCAAATGCTGAATAAAATTAAAATATTATTGGAAGTATATCATATTTTATCCCTCAGTATTTTAAAGCCCAAAAGCAGACAAGGCTATAAGTATTTAGCCACACTGTTCTTAAGCTGCTTCTCAGCTTCATATCTGAAATGGACAGAGAGTGAGAGATAAAAACAAATAGATAAACCAACAGTGTGTAATTCTCCAGATATGACACTGGGAATCTATTCTACTGAAGTGGCATTATCATAACTCTTTTGACATAAGAGTTCAAGCCAGGGGATGTTTATCTCTATCTCAGCTTAGACTCGGAAGATCCCACTAAAATAGAAGTGGCTTCACAAACTGACATTTTATCAGATACACACCCTAGCTAGCAAGCAGAGACCAGACCCGTGGCCACTTTGTGTTACAATGGAAGTTCGTACCCTTTTCAAATGAAGTTCTCTGAATTTTCGAAGCCGCTCTTCTCTCTTCTGTGCTGCTGCCTCCTCTGGTGTCATCTGATCTTCTGAACTGTCAGAAGCAGCCTGGAATATCACCCACATTTATTACCAACCGTTTGCTTTTGAATTTCATCGGATAGTATCACAACAGAAGGAATCAGATGTACTGCCAGCACCTGAATCCCTTACGTCTACCTATCAAAGTAGGTAAACCCTGACATTCCCACAAGACTGAATACTATCAAGGTATGGTTCACTACAATTCCTGAAACTCCTAAAATAAGAAGAGAAAAACAGTTCACTGATGTTGTCCACCCTACCTGGGCAGATGGAAGGAAGCAAAGAATGGATCAGGGTCCAATGCAGTGCTTTGAGGACCCCAAGAAAAGAACCCAAAAGAAACAGACATATGCCTCAAGTTATACAAAAACAGGACTGCCGTTCACCATCCCCTTATCCCCTATACTTCGTGGGGTTCCCACTGCAGTTCTCCTTCCGAGGTGCCCAGTGAAACTTGAATTCCCTGCATCTGCCTAGCTGAGCCAGACATTTTTGATAAGCCAAATTGCGACCTTTTATCTCTGGTCGTTCTTAAAACCCTTCCTCCTTCCCTGCTGCTCGCATTCCTATACAGCTAACGTTTCCCTCAGAAACAACAACAACAACAACAACGCCCCGGTTCCCCAGACAGTTCCTTCCCCCCCCTCGGCCGCCTTCGACTCCCGCCAGGCGCCACCCACCCACCCATTCCCGTCGCCTGGGCACGACCACGGCCGCCTCAAGGCCCTCTCGCCTTCCCTCTCCCAACCGCCAGGCCCCTCGGAAGGGCCCCCGAGACACGCCGGGCTACAGGGACCCCTCTTCCCCATCCACCGACGATGGGAGTTGTAGTCCACGCATTCGCTGGGCCTGGGCTTGGCCCTGAAGCTTCTGGCCTTCCCTCCCCGGGGACACCCCACCCCCCTTGCCCTCGCTCCCGCTCCTCTCACCGGCTCGGGCGCAGGAAGGCCGCCAACCGTCGCCCTCGGTGTCGTCTCCAAACAGTGAACACCAACGCGTCCTTCCGCTTCCGCTCTCTGCTGGTGACGTCAGCGCCGGACGTAGAGATCTACGGAGGAAAACCAGAGAGGCGGCACAAACCATAGAGCGGCGAGGAAGTTAGGTAGCCCGGCTCAAAGTACGCATGCGCAGTGGACGTTGAGGTAAAGGGGCCTGTCATTTATATGAATTGTGATGCAGCGCCGCCAAGAGTTTGGGACGGAAAATGCACAGCAATAACAATAATAACAATAACAATAACAATAACAATAACAATAACAATAATGATGATGATGATGATGATGATGATACTGATACTGATACTGATATTATTATTATTATTATTATTATTATTATT